AAAGCATTATGCTGAGTGAAATAAGCCAGGGGTTGAAAGACAAATACCATATGATCTCACCTTTAACAGGAAGCTAAACAACAAAACAAACAAACAAGCAGAAAAAAAACAAACAAACAAAAAACAAAGACACTGAAATAGAGAACAAGGGATAGTGACCAGAGGGGAGAAGGAAGGGAAGTTAAGGGGAAAATGGGGGAGGAATTTGGAGGAACAAATAGGAAGGACACAGGGACCAGAACTAAGGGGGGTGGAAATGGGAGGGAGGTGGGGAGCAAGGGGCGGGGGAGGCTGGGATGGGAAAAATAGACAAAAAAACTGTACTTGAAAAATAACTAAATAAAATTTTTAAAAAAAGAAATAAAACATAGACATTATGCCTGTGATATTGAGTATGCCAGATTAGAGTTGCTGGAATGACTGACTGAGTTGCAAAAAGATGTTCCCATGTTATGATTTTGTTTCTCTTTTTATTTTGTTGCTAGTCTAAAAACATTTTAAAATTTAGTCTAAATTATATTAGTGCTAGGAACATGGTTGATTTTGTTTATATGAATGCCCTGATGTGATTGAGAGCATAGTAAATGTCTGTTGGTGCAGATAAGGCAGAAAGGTGGGGAAATGCATGGAGGCAACCAGAGTCGGGTCTCAGACTTCATACTCCTGGGGCTCTCTGAGAATCCTGAAGACCAGCAGGCCCTGTTCTGGATGTTCCTGTCCTTGCACCTGATCACGATGGTGGGAAAGGTGCTCATCCTGACCATAAGCACTGACTTATACCTGCACACTCCCATGTACTTCTTCCTGGCCAATGTCTACTTCACTGACCTCTTCTTTGTCACCAACACAGTCCCCAAAATGCTGGTGAACCTTCAGTCCCAGAATAAAGCCATGTGCTATGCAAGATGTCTGGCAAAAAAAAAAAAAAAAAAAAAGAAGACGGGGAAGTTAGATGCCCTTGATCACTCACCTAAAGGTGAGGCCTAATGCAAATCACTTAATGTTGAAAGGGACTCTTCTGGAAAAAGAACGAGGCTCATCTGAGGACTTTTATGGGGAAGATATCCAGCTAAAAAAAACCCAACTACCATTATTTCACTTCAGAGAGACTCACAAGATTTAGCACTTACTTTTTTGGTCTTATTTGACTTTCTAATTGTTTGGTGAGTCCTAATATTATTTCTCCAACTAAAATTTAAGTCACTTGATGGCAAGGATGGTATCAGTTTCCCAAGCCTGTGTACTTTTTACTGTAACACATTGCCTGAAAGATTACTAAGTCAATATTTAATAATTCATTTTAAATTAACTTTTAGCAGGTCAAAATAACAATACAAAATTTAAAAAATACACTTACTAATAGAGAATCCTCACTAAACTCCATCAATGTACTAGCTACTCTGTTGACAACCACCACCAAAATGTCCTAAATGGGGGACAGAAGTCGGCCAGCACAAAGCACTTAACCGAGCCCACTGATTGTCTGTACTGCTTTGTGGTCCAGATTCATCAATCCTCATGGAACCTCTTCAGGAGCAGTATCTTAAGAGTATGCCAGGATTTTATTATTTAATGCTGTTTTCCTTTGTGGCATATGATTTGCCCTTAAAACTGTATCCATGTAATGACACATAGCATTACATAAGACTCTATTACAAAGTTAGCTTTTCAACCCACGGACCCATCCCCCAGAAGTTTCTGTTATTTGTGTTAGATGAAGCTGCCCATTTTTAATGGGGTGGTCTCAAATCAATCACATTTTTTCTTAATTTTTAGTAGAAAATATCTACCCCTGAGAACTGAGGATGTGATTTTTTTTTTAATTAAATTTTGTTCATGATACAGATTTCACAGAGTTCAGGAATCTGATTTTCTTGTTGTAATTCTTCTCCAACCCCAACCCCTGCCGTTTTATTTTTTTGCATTTAGTATAATTCTGCTGGTTATTTTATTTGAAAGTGGCCAAATGATCTTTAAGATTATGCAAATTAGATATTCAGTCTAATATCTCTGTCTACCTACTTATCTGTCTATATGCACGAGTCCCACTGATGTGCTTAAAGCATTGGATTAAAGGCCGTGGGTTTCCTGGAAGATTATGCTCTAGATTAATACGATTAATTTGACTTAGAGACATAAAAATAAGCTGTTGGCCTATAAGAACGCCATTCTCTTACTATTTGCACAAAGAATGCAGTCTTTGTTCAGGAAGTTTTTTCCTCTTAGGAGAAAGTTAATATATACTCCCAATTTTCAGTTTATGCTGGGTAAGAGAGAAAAACAGCTAACGACGTTCCTGCTGTTTGCTTATTGAATTTTATTTATTAAGTGAAAACAAGCAACATTGCTTGCTATTTTTACACCACTGGGCTTTTGCCCACACTACTTATTCTCCCTGCTGTGCCTTTTCCACATCACTTGCAATATTTTATCTCCCCTATTCATGTTCTCCTTGTAAGTTCTTAAAGCAGTAGTTTTCAACCCATGTGCCACCGAGGCACGCTGGTGTGTTGCGAGAATTTTTAAAACACGCACCGACCTCTTTTCCCTTAAATTGCCAAACAAAAAATGGCAACAGCCAACACAACAACAGCTGTCCAGTGTGAAGGAATCCAAAGTATTTCTATTTTTTTTTGTCAGGCCAACAAAATAATGTAACAGATTTTTTGGTGTGCCGCAGAACTTTAGTCATTAGTTTACGTGTGCCGTGAGATGAAGAAGGTTGAAAATCGCTGCCTGGAAGAACTATGCCTGTGTCTGTTACACGTTCACCCATTTATCTGTTGAAGAAAGACTTAGCTGTGTGCCATGGCCAAGAAGAGGGTGGGTTGATATTTTATGGTTGGCAGAGTGATCTTGTTTTTGTCTGTGCTTAGGTAAACTTACGGAGCCCTCTGCTTTATCTTATTTCGTCATGTTTCAGAATGACCTTGTTTGACTTTGGTATTTCATGAGATTATTTCTGTCTAATAGGAGAATAACATGGCTTAGCTGTGAGTACCAGGGCAGCTTCTATAAGAGGTTTCTCTTCTTATTAGCTTCTCTACTTAATAGCTTCTCTTATTAGCCTCTCTACCTTGCTTCCCTACTCATTAACTGTGCTTAACAATTCCCTGCTGATTTCCTATGACCAATGTAGAAATCACTCAGCTTACCGAAAATGGTAAGAATTAAGTTCCCTAAATAGCAGGGGATTCAATAAGTTACCACTTTTTAATTGCAAAAAAAATTACTGTTGACATTAATACAGGTGGCCTCATTTCCCCACCTTTGCCCACCTCCACCCATTTCCCACCCCACCTTCCATCTGGTTGGCACCACACTGTTGCCCTACAAGGAGTTATGCATGTCTGTTCTTTGGCTAATTTCTTCACCCTCTTTCAATGACAAGAATCTGTTCATCAGTCATCCCCATCCTGGATGGTGACTGCCCCGAGGGAAGGGGCTAAGAGCGGCACATCTGGATACTGTAACATCAAACTCGAGTAGCCACCAGACTTGAAAATTCCTTGAGTAGACAAAACCAGTTTAGTCATACAAGAAGAGTGAATTTAGCTTAATTTTTTAGGCAAATGAGACTAATCTGACCTGGATCACTTTTACTTATGCCTCTGAAGGTCATAAGTAAAACTTAGATTCCCGCCTCCCAAAATTGAAAAGAGGTAGCTACTAACCAATTCTCTTCCATTTAAGAAAATTCTAACATGAGGACCAATCACTGTGACAGTCATGGCCTCCACACTATATAAGAGGCTTTATAATATACTTCCGAGTCTCATCCCATGTTTGAGAGCTCTGAGTCTGCCAAACTTTTTGGTGTGTGCATAGTAAACATTTACTACTATTAAGTGATTGGTTTAACTTGTTTTTTTTAATGAATTTTGACAGCACTTAGCAATGTTTGTTGAATCCTGATCCAAACTTTCTCATCTTCCTGCCTTTTTTTCATTATTCTCTCAATCTGTCTACCCTCCTCCCCTGCCCACCTGTCTAAAGCCTAACCCCAAAGGGTCAATAACCACTCTTTAGAGCACTTTCTTTGTACCATTTAATGGGGTGTATTACAGTGTTTTGGGTACTAAAGGAATGTAGTTTTTTTTTTAAAAACAATACTTAGGACACATTACTAATTAACTATTAAAATCATGTTATAGTTTTTGCTTTTTTAAGTTCCTTTAGGACAGAACTATAGCTTCTTTTTGGTTTCACTTTAGTGTCTGGAAAGAAAGCACATGGCAAAGGCTGATGACCCTGGAAGGAAACTCTTGCTGAGGACCAGGGACTAGCGTCCTATTGAGAGTTCGGGGTTCCACAGGCTACAAAGCAAGCCACAAAGGAGAATTGACTTGATGAATCAATCGCAGAGTTTGGGCGGGTGAAGTTCCCATCTCCCAGCTTTTTAGTATTATTCAAATTAAGCCTGTTGGCTTAGCATAAATGAAATTGGGAGGCTTTGGCTAGAAATAAGAGATATTTTTGCAAGAGACATAAGGTTTTAAGTAGACATAGAGCTGGGCAAAAGAAGAAAAAAGAGCTGAGAGTTCTCATTGTAAAAAGTACATTTTTGAGATGAATCAGTCCTGCATTCTTCGTCTCTGGATTGGTTCTGGATGGTTAATCCTCTAGATGACTGGTGGTCTGGGTAGGTTAACATTCTTTTGTTTGCCCTTCAGGAGATTATCAGAAGTTTACCTGAAAGTTTAATGTATACCTAGGCATTTTCGTAGGACTGGAAAGTTTCAAAAGTTTGTGGGCTAGTTAAAAACAAGAACAGAATCACTTCCTTCTAACTCAACCTACTTGATTTTGGTAATTTAGCAGTCGACTAGAGTGACTCCATTTTATTTTTTCAAGCCAAACTCTCAAACAGTTGTCGGGATCCCAGGCCTCTTTGGGGGCGTCCCCGGCACAAAACCGGGGAGGTGGGCGCGCAGGCGGAACCTTAGTTCTTACCTTTGTTTCCCGCGACTCCACTGCTAAGGCTACACTACCAAATCGAAGGCCTCCTTCCTCTAACCGATGGCCTGTTCCGGGAACGGTTCCGGAGTTTGCAGCTAAACGATTAAGGGACACCCCAGCAACAGAGAGGAAGATCTCCAGTTGCAGCCTCCCCAACACGGTCCCACAAGTGCCTCTAACTTGGAACCGCGCACGTTACCCGCAGCGGCGCGGAGCGTAAGCCGGGCGCGTGCTCGGGCGCGCGCTCGGGCGCGCTCACGTCCCCCCGCCCCTGCCGCACGCAGTCCTTCCTGAGGACCACCTGGTTGCGCTGCTCCCACGCCACCCGGAACCTACAGTTATTCCCTGGAAGGCGGAGGAGAATCGGTAGACAGGGAAGAGCCGCGACGGTAGCGGAGACTGCCTCGCACGCCCCGGAAGAGAAGGGGAGGAAGGCGGGGTTAGGTGAGGGAGCGCGGAGTAAGTGAGCAGGGATCTGATCGCGGTTCAGATTCGAACCAGTCTCATCGGCCAGGTCCCCCCCCCCCCCCCCACCTCGAGCCGGTTACACCGGACCCGAAGAGGACGGAGCGATACAGAGGTTCGCACTGGGCGAGGACACATGGCCTCTCCATTCCTGTCCGCGGGGACCACCACGGGCGACAGCGGCGGGGAGCTGAGCTCGGGGGACGACTCTGGGGATGTGGAATCGCTGCAGAGCCCCGAGAGCTCCAGGAGCCTGACGGAGCTGTTTGAGAAGGCTGCGGCGCACCTCCAGGGCTTGATTCACGTGGCCAGCAGGGAGCAGCTCCTCTTACCTGTATGCCAGGTACAAGCAGGTAACGTCGCAGGGAAGGTGTGGATGCCGGGGAGTGACAGGAGGCCTTCTCTTTTCCAACAAAAGCTAATAGTAAACATGTTTGGTACAAGACTAGTCGTGAAGTGTGTCCGGGTTCTGTTTCGTTTGTTTTTTCATCATCCCTTAAAGGTTAGCATTGGTACCGACACGGAAAGGACCTGTCATCCTAGGAGTGGTGTTTAGCTGGACGCTGAATGACAGTTTTTCTGTTTTCTCTGACTTGCTCAGTGACCTTGCACTTATGCTTTTACCAGTTTTAGAACCTTTACAAAATGAGGATGACAAAAAAGATTTATCATTACCCCCAAATTTTTTGAGGTCCAAGAGAATGATATGATTGTAATAAAAAGGGTGATGCAATGCAAAATAAAGTATTATTACTTTTATTATTGTGATTTTTTTAAAAGCTTTACAGTACCTTAGGGTTTAAATATGCTTCTGTCTGTTGGATACAATTGTAAAAATTCTAGAGCTCCACAACATCAGGTGAAATAATACCCTTCTTTACGGAAAGGGAAAGGGACTCCCAAAGACAGTAGATACTTGCCTAGGGTCATACAGATAAATCAGTCAGAACTAGAACTAGCTTGTAGCTCCTGACTTTAAGACTCTGAACTTGACTCGAAAGTATGGAAGTAAAAGTAATAATAATGTCATATAAAACATACTCAACTTGTCATTCAAAGAGTCATTGAGTTAAGTATAGAAGAAGAAAATAATTGCTTTATCAAAGTCAGCAAATACTTGTTCAGCATCTTTTAGGTGCAGAACACTTGGGCGTTATTGCCTACAGGGAATGCAAGAGCATCATGGTACTTGCCTTACAGAGTTACCCGAGCAATCTGGGTTTGGACACTGAAAATGTGCTGGTAAGAGTTAACAATTCAGGGAAACTCCAGCTCTTTAGAACACTAGAAACAATGAAGTGCTGGATAATAGCCCATTTTATTTTATTACATTTTTAAAACCTTTTTTTTTTTTGCCTCTTGGTATCTATTTTCCCCTGTATTATCTCTTAGAAAAATAGTTGTGGGGTCCCTCTGAATTCTTCAACTGAATATACTGAACAAAGATGAACCTTTTTTTTGAAGATTGATGAGTATCAGTTAAATTGATCTGAAAGATACAGTTGTAGGTGCAAATGTTATAAGTCATAGTGTTGAATGAAAATTGCCCCTAAATTGGCCTTGGAATTTGCTTTCTTTGTAAAGTTCTGGATATCTGTTTTCTCTTTGGTCACTTACTGTGTCCTAGTAACATTAAAATGAGACTTTTGATTATTTAACAAGAATTTAGCATTGTGCTAGGACCTGTTGCATGTCTGGCTGATGATTTTCTGGGAAGTATAAAATTAATTTTCTCCAAATTCTCTATAGAACATTCTTTCCAGCATGCTTGTTTGTTATTGATATCAGTGTCGTCATTATTAAAGATCTGACTTTTAAGTCATCAGTGAAGTACAGTCACTGGTCAGCCGCTCTGTCTCAGGTTTACTCACTTCATCCAGATAGTCTGGAAGAGGTGTGTCCTTCACCCTTTCAGGAACTTGACAGGGTGTCTAGAGGGACTCTGTCTGGACAATGAAATTCTTCATTATTAGAGATTAAGATTAGTCTATGGCCATACCACCCTGAATGCGCCCAATCTGGTCTGATCTCGGAAGCTAAGCAGGGTTGGGCCTGGTTAGTACTTGGATGGGAGAGATTAAGATTATGCTTGCTTAGATATGACATCAGACACAGTTTTCATCACCATCTTCTAGATACCTTATTTTTAACAAAATTCCAAGACAGTGTTAAAAATAGCATCCTTGGTAGAATAATAAAGTTGAATCCCAGTGTAATTCCTTCATGATGGGTCACAATTTCTCATAAAATAATTCCATTTGTATTCGGACTAGCACCCCTTTTTTTTTTTTTTTTTTTGGCTGAATGGGATAAGGTTGTCAGCAGAAAGGAGATAAAAACAAGCTAAGCTATAAGCCTTTTTTTCTCAGGCAAAGCCCTAAACTTACCTAATTGCTTTGTTAGTCTCGGATAAGCTTATGGCTCCGAGCTCATCTAGTGAAATTTCAAAAAGATCAGACCAATTAAGAGGTCCCCCCATCCCCACCCCGCCTCTGTTCACTAGCCTACATTCTCCCAGCAAAAGACAACTAATTGACACCTATGAAAACAATGGGACAATGAAAATTTCAGACCCAATTTGGCTTCATTGTATCGGAGTCTTCAGCACTAGTGCAAGTTAGACCACTCCTGTCCTTCTACTTTAAGCGGGGTACACTTGATCTACTGGCATTTGCCACTGACAAGCCTTTGTTGGAATACACTATTTCAAGGGCACTGGATTATCTCATACCGTATATCAGAGAGGACAGAGTTTGGATGCACCATTAAAGTGGCACATTTTATAACTCTGCTTTATAGCTCGTGATTCGTTATCTAATGATCTGGAAACTGTTCCTCATGACGTCCTAAATTCCTACAGTTTTATTTTCTCAGTCTTTTCTGGATCCAGAACTGTTCTTTGACTTGGGAATATGAAAGCTCTGTGTGGGTTGGGACATGGGGCAGCTGCTGGCCTTTTATTTTCAGCTCCCATAATGGTCTGGAGGTAGGTGAGCTGGGACTGGTAGGGTGGTCCTGGTTCGTGAGCACCCAGGGGCTCGGTCTTTTTCTGTGTTGTAGCTCGGCCATCCCCCAAGGCAGCAGTTCTCAAATTAGGTTCCATGGGCAGCAGGGAATGCCTGGACTTTCTCAGGGGATCTGTAAGATCAAACTATTTTCATGACAACACTGAGACACCATTTGCTTTTTTCCTGTGCTGTCCTGGTGGGTGAACCTGCGGATGTATCAGCACGAATCGAGGCGCTGGCAGTAAGGGTACTAGTGGTCCTGTTTCTTTGCTGACGTGCACTCAAGGGAAGAAGGCCAGTGTCGCTTAAAAATGTCTCCTTTGGACTTCCGCCAAGATGGAGACGTAGATGGAGGATCCACCTCGCCTCTGTGCACAACCAAATCTAAGAACAACTATTTTTAACAGCAGTCACAACCAAGCCACACGGAAAATCGACAATACGGAGTCCAAAGGACAACTAGATACTCGGCTGGACCGGTACGAGGAGCGAGGCCAGCAGCGGAGCAGGTTAGCAAGAAAAAATTCCCGGGGCGGTGCGCGGCGCGCGCAGGCAACCGAGGGCACTGATCGCCAGCCAGCTGGCTGCCCGAGCGCACAGGGAAGAGGCGCGGCGATTGGTTGGTCGGTCGCGCGAATTTACGTGGGGAGAAGCCGGTGAGAAGGGAAGCCGGTGCGGGGCAGCAGGCTCGCGCAATCCCGATCGGATAAACCCCAGGCGTGCGGAGTGACTGGAAACGCTGGGCTAGCGGAGAGGACCGCCATTGCTCCCTCTCTGACCCCGCCCCCACACACAGCGTCACAAACCGGCGACCTGAGTCGCCCCGACCTGGTAAACAACTAAGGCTTCGCTCCGCTCACTTAACAGCGCGAACAGACCAAAAATGGCTCTAGGACAACTCAGAGCCCCAGAACCGATAGACCTAAGTGATGAAGAAATAGCCAGTCTTTCAGATGCACAGTTCAAAACACTGGTTATAAGGATCCTTACAGAACTGGTTGACTTTAGCCACAAATTAGAGAAACATATGGAAGCTAAATTAATTGAAATGAATGGGGATACAAAAGATTCCAATAGTAATGGAAAGAAAATTGGGACTCAAATCAAGGGAGAGAACCAGAAGGAAGAAAAAAAATGATCAAACAGAAAGGAATGAAGAAATAAGAATTCAGAAAAATGAGGAGAAGCTTAGGAACCTCCAGGACATCTTTAAACGTTCCAACATCCGAATTATAGGGGTACCAGAAGGGGGGAAAGGCACAACCACCAGTTGAAAAATTATTTGAACAAATAATAAAGGAGAATTTCCCCAATCTGGCAAAGGAAATAGACTTCCGAGAAATCCAGGAAGCTCAGAGAATCCCAAAGAAGTTGGACTCAAGAAGGAATACACCAAGGCACATCATAATTACATTAGCCAAGATTAAAATGAAGGAGAGAATCTTAGAAGCAGCAAGAGCTAAGGGGACAGTCACCTACAAAGGAGTTCCCATCAGACTGTCAGCTGATTTCTCAAAAGAGACCTTACAGGCAAGAAGGGGCTGGAAAGAGGTATTCCAAGTCATGAAAACCAAAGATCTACAACCAAGATTGCTCTACCCAGCAAAACTTTCATTTAGAATGGAAGGACAGATAAAGTGCTTCTCAGATAAGACCAAATTCAAGGAGTTCATCATCACCAAGCCCTTATTATATGAAATGTTAAAGGGACTTACCTAAGAAAAAGAAGATAAAAAAGATGAACAGTGAAAGGACAGCAAACTCACAATTATTAAGAACCACACCTAAAACAAAAGCAAACTAAGAGGATAGCTAGATCAGGAGCAGAACCATAGAAATGAAGATCTCAGGGAGGGTTAGCAATAGGGGAGTGGGAGGAGGGGAAGGGGGGGAGAAGGTACAGAAAATAAGTAGCATAGACAGTAGATAGAAAATACATAGGGAGAGGGTAAGAATAGTAGGGGAAATACAGAATCTAAAGAAATTGAGACACATGTTCATGAACTAAAGGGGGAAATGGTGGGGGAGGGGTATGCAGGGTGGAGGGGAGGGGAGGGGGGAATAGAGCAAATGTAATGGCATAATCAATAAAAAATAAATAAATAAATAAATAAATAAAAACAAAAAAAATGTCTCCTTTGAAGAAGCAAAACTTTCTGATTCTTATGGAATCAGAACACCTGAGTACAAGTCCCTTCAGTCCTGTGTGTGACGAAATGGGGGCGGCACAGGGCGTGTCTGCTGCGCACGGAATTATCTGGTTATTGGAAAAGCACCTATGTAATTTTTTGAGTTCCAGGCTGAGCTATCCACTTTTGTTTATTAAACATCATTTTTACTTTATAGAACAACTCACAGGTAAACTGTGCTTGTTCAGATTTGAGTATTTAGCAGAATGTTTCTTGAAAATGAATGAAGTGGGCGCATCCCTGTAAGGAAAGCAGCTGATAGCATTTGGTGCTGAAGATAATGTTTGGGCTCCCCGTGAAAATTCAAAGTTTGGAGAAGCTGCCACATGATCTTGACACCTTCTAATACTTCCTAATTTTTACTCTTTTGATGAGGTGGGTGGAGATTTTAATGATTGTGAACTTTTGGTATTTGAAATGTGTCAGCATTTGGAAGGTCTGCATAACTCAGTAACCGTGTTTCCCAAATATTGCATGGAATAGCGTTTCAAATTATGTGTGGGTGAAACTCTTTTAAAGTATAAGTCAGACCATGGATTTTAGTATACAGTGTGAAAAATTAATTGATACGACTTCAGATTCCAGTGGCCTTAAAGAATCTGCCACTAATTGAATTTTGGCGTGGTATCAACAAAGAATATCCACCATTATCTGAAAATGCTACTAAAATACCCCTTTCTTTTCTAACAGCAGATCTGTGTGAAGCTCAGTTTTCTTCCTATGCTTCAACCAAAGCAACACATTGCAGTAGACTGAATGCAGAAGTAGATTTCTGAGAATATATTAAGGCAGACATTAAAGAGATTTGCAAAATGTAAAACATCACTTTTTTCACTAATTCTTATGACTGATTCTTTAGACTGTGGTTATTTTTATAAAATTTTGTTATGTTAACATGTAATGAGTGTTATTTTTGAATGAATTAATATATATTTAAAATATCTTTTAATTTCTAACATGATAAAAGATATAACCCACATAAACAAAAGCTCTTAGGGGCCCTCAGTTTCTAAAAGTGTAAAGGGATCGAGAGACCAGGGAGGTGGAGAGCTGCTGCCCTTGGGCCCTCCTTCCGTGGCCAGAGGTGGCTGACCACGGTCACACGCGTGTCTTAGCCAGGGCACAGGGAAGGGAGGGACGAGCCCTCCTTTCTTTTTAAGAGAGGTAGCTATATCACCTTTCACACTTCGCACCCCTGTTCCTGGGCAGGAGTTGCATGGCTACGTGTAATGGTCGGCTGGGTGACCGTGTGTCTGGCTGGGACTCCTATTACTGCGGGAGAAATGGGGACTACATCCGGGTGTTTGTTTCTGCCACTGGCTGTATCTGGTTGAACAACAAAAGTGGTAATAACAGCTGTTTTTATAAAGTCAAATAGTTAATCTCATTGATATTTCTATCAGTGCAGTAGTTCAGGTGATTTTAGAGATGCCAGAATTGAAGACTAGATTCTGTGTAACATGTAAAATGGAAAGTTATAGTAGAGGAACATCGGACTTCGGAGTCAACAAGTCCTGAATTCACATCCTGACTAGTGATTAGGATTCACTAAGGTGTGGCCTGCCACACCCCTCCCAGCTTCTCTGCACTCATGTATAAACAGAGTTTGTGATAACAAACCTAAGGGACTGTTGTGTGGCCCATCTGACACAGCATAGGTGGAGCTTTCGTGCCACCAATGCAGCTGCTGGTCTGTCACCTCCCCGGTGTCCATCCTCACAGGGCTGCTCCTGCGTGAGTGTACGTTCAGTAACAACCACACTGATAGTGATGGGGTGCTAAGCAAATGATAGAGGTGATAATCGCTACGATTTCAGAGATGGACAAGATCATTGTGGACTGAAAGGGCGCTTAGAGTCTTGGGTAGGAGCTGTAGTGTTTTGAAAAGCTGAGGGAAGGAGAGAAGGCATTTCTGGTGAGGGGAATCACTCAGAGCCAAACTCAGAATCAAAATCCCTAGGGCAGTGAGTAGACTAATCTGGTGAGTGAGTAGACCGTCACTTTGACTTTAGCAAAGTTCAAGTGCAGAAGAGTAATAGCAGGTAGTGGGAAGGTCCCTGAGAAGTGGATTGGGGTCAGAGTAGGGCATTGAGCATTAGGGAAAGTAGGTGTTTTATTGAACATATGCCTAATACATTCATTCTATAGTCAACAAACATTTTTACTACCTTAAGTTAGGCACTGCATCAGGTGCAGTGATTGAGTTAAGAATGGCTTCTTACAGGGCACATTCTAACAGAAAGATGAGACTTTACACAAAACTTTCCAAGCAAAGTTGAAGTGACAAGTGCGATCACAGATGGTGTCACACAGAGTAAGCGCTAAGAGAGGTCCCCAGAAAGGGAGATTGCTTCTGGCAGTGGGAATCCGGCCGGATAGTGAATTCTGTACGTGTACCAATTTCATTTATGATTCTTGACAGTACAGCTAATTACTGTACAGCTTAACTAGATTAAAGATAAGCATTGACTGCAATCAGGAAAAGATTATTGTGGAATAGATAAAATGTATATCGTTGAGAAACCGTTGACATTTTTTGCACAGCTTCCAACACATAAAATTTTATTGATTAGTTTCATAATAGGGCACTTTAAAAATAGTGTTTTTTTTCTGGAATTTTGGAGAGATGAAATGCTGATAGTGTGATGAGTATCAGCATAAGTAAACAGTATTATGAATTATGATAAACTGTACTTAAAGTTTATTGCATGTTTTAAAATTTTATAAGTGGTAAATAGAGTTGCATAAGCTACATTTATAACTTGCCATGTATATAATTTGTTAATTTAGGAACACAACTGTCGGTCACCCATGTTTTTAAATGTATTATAGTATTATATAATGTCGTATACAGTAAGAAAAATCAGCCTGTATTTAAAGTTTGTTTTTGTGTGTGCTTTTGCAAAGAAGGTTAAATTTTGTTATTCTATATAGATGCAAATATTTTCTAACCTATAGCTTCTAAGTACACATAGTAAATTTGAAAATAAAAAGTTTCTCTGGTATTTCTTTGAAAAATAAATTCTTGATTTCTCCCCCTTCATTTAGGTCAAAGTTGGAAATTGCAATACTCCTAAACCAGGCTTCTTTGATTTTGAAGGAAAGCAAAAATGGTAAGAAATTCTCAGAATCTATTGAGGTTGTTGGACATGGTTTAGGAGTTTAGGAGTTAGAAAGGGGTGAGCAGATTAGAGAATGATTTGTAAATTAATCTCTCTGCTGCAGACTGCTCAGGGAGGTAATTGGGAGAGAGATTAAAAGAATCCGATTTTACCTAAGTCTCCTGTAGGAAGCTTGTGCCCTGGTGTCGGTGTGCAAGTACTTCGTAGTAGACATGCATGCCTTACAGATGTGTGGCTTCTTAGAGTGACCATGGGGCTGTCGCTGGAGACTTTCCTCCCGTTGCCTGTTGTACAGACACCACCTCTCCCTCTGGAGGGTCTGTGGAAGAAGGCCAGGCGGCGGAGACGGGAGAAGAGCAGGCTGAATGCCCATTTCTCTTCTCCCGCCCCAGTTGTATCTCATCCCCAGAGCTCTTCTGTTCCTTGCCCCTCCCGCCACCGTAAAGAAGTGCTGACCATGACCTCTTGGACAGAAAGAAAAAACATGCCAGGTTCACTTCTTTTCTGAATACGTAAAAAGATTATACCTTCACATTTTTTTTTTTTACTTATAATTCAGATGTCCCTCTTATCACACAAGGCCTTATTTCCTATTACGTCATCTAAATGTAAAAAGAGACATCTCATACAACAGGGTACCTTGGTTATAGCAGGAAGGACTTTGCAGCTTTAGTCCTGGAATCAAATGTATAGAGGTTTTAAAACAGTGAAATATGGCAGTAGAGGGAAGCGCTAAGAGTGGATTCTAACTTTACATCCTAGAGCAGAGCCGCTCAAAATGCGGCCCTGGGACAGGTTGCCAGCCCGTGAGCTGTCTGCTACCCAGCCGTGAGGAGACGCAGAGCTTGAAGTGGGGTATAGATCAGTCGCAGCTTTGAGCACACTGCTTACCTCCGAGGGCTGGTGTGTGTGTGTGTGTGTGTAGAACACTCCCAGGGAAGGAAGCAGGCTTCGGTTTTGCTCCGGGCCCCGGCTTGCTTTGCCAGGGTGGTGAATAGTTATTCCCCAGCTGCTCTCTCTCACTGTTGTAGAGCATGCCTGACGTAACTCTTATTGTGAGTTTTTTAAATGTATGAAACCTCATAAGTTCATTATTTTTTCCTGTACTTGCATGATTTAAATTGTTCTTAACAATTAAAAAAAGTTTAGATTGTACAACCACTGTAATAATTCAGGCAAGAATCTCAATTGGATGGCAAAACCATTAGATGAAAAACTACTGGGAGCCGTGTGTATTCAGTCTGACCCCCAATTTACGTATTAATCACAAAGAAGAAAACAGTTTTTACTAAGTCCTCGATCTTAACAGTGGGGCACAAACTGATACCACGTGCCCTCTGACAGGAGGCCTCGTAAAGGACACGTCACCCGTGCATTGCTCTTGACAAAGTATTTAACCGGATTCTAATCATCATGAACGTTTTTGGCAAGAACACTCCAGGTGTGGAAACAATCGGGCAAATCCAGATTGAGGGATATTTTATAAAACAACTGGTTTTGACTCTTAAAAATATCAGTATCATGGAAGACAAAAAAGTGTAAAGATTCATGGAGCTCAATGATGTGTATGAATCTTGATTGGCTCCTGGTCTGGGAAAAGAAAGCTATGAAGGAAGTTTTGGCAAATCAGAGAAATCTGATTATATTGATGAGAAATTTCCTCAGTTTGATATATGCTGATATAGTTAGGGCTGAAGTGTTAGAACGTCTACAAGGAACTCTCAAGAGATTCAGTAAAAATAAATTTAGCAGTCCTCATTGCTGGGGGGAAGGGGTATAAGGAAACTAAGTGATAATGGAAAAATCACAATGAAGATTAAATTTTAAAAAAAAGAAGTCCTCAAAAAGATGTTATGTTTATCACAGAAGCAGGAAGATGGTTAAGAGCCGGCGGGACCGAGTGCTGGTTCGCAGCGAATCAGTGGGTCAACTTGCTGGCTGGAAGCAGAGTTGGTAGGGAGACCAAGCAGGACCCTATCCTGGCAGTTTGCAGAAAGGAAGACTAACATACCACTCTTGGTATTTATGCTGCAGGAACTCCGTACCTTCTTACCCACGTGTATTCTTGCTTCTGTCCTCTCAAGCCCTCGCTTTCGAAGTCCCTGCCTGAGGCCTCAGGATCCCGTGCTAGCAGCTTATAGATGAGAAGACAGCGGAAGGGGGAGGTGCTTTCCCAGGGAAAGTCGTTTTCTTTGATGATTAGTTTCCACGCTGCCCAAACGCTATGAGCACAGTTAATTCACAAGATAGGAGCTACTTTTATTGGTCTGTAGGTCAGGCATTTTCCACAAGGGGGAAGTTGGTGTGGGGGAATCATGAAATCTTAAGATAGTATAATGGTCTGTGGTCTGCCAGAATTAAGCAGATATGCAGTGTATCTGGATTACTAAAATTTCATGGGGGAGGGTGATGACAGAAATGTCCACATGCCCCGTAGGTGGGGTGATAAGGTGTGTGCCGCACACCAACGAACATGCACACAGCGAGGGCTGCTGCTCCGTGGCTTATTGTGTCCATCTCCCCGGGCCGTCAGTGTGTCTGTCGGTTTTTTTAAATAAAAAGAGACCTGCTGTTTGTGCCACTCACATCGGTAACGATGGGCCACTCTGGGTATCCTGTCCCACAGGGAAGCATGGAAAGCCCTTGGTGATTCGAGCCGGAGCCAGGCAATGCGGGAGTACATCGCAGCAGTTAAAAAGCTGGACCCCAGCTGGACCCCTCAGGTGAGGCTTAGTGGTTAACACCGTGCTTCCCCCGAACCCAGCATCTTGCTCTCAAGTCCATGTTGAAATCTAAACTTAGGCCTAAGTACCATTCTTAAGTTTTGTTTGCCCGAATCAAAAGATTGTAAACTTACTGCAATATTTATCTGCATAAAAATACTTTTGCTTAAACATTCACATAACCAGCCAGCTACTAATACTGAAAACATCTCTGAATTCTAGACACTTTTTCAAAACATAACAATAATTTCAACCATGTAAAAACTGTTTCAGAATTTGAGAGTTTCACATGAGATCGTCATTATTATCTTAAAAAATGGTGGATATCTCGGGGGTTTTTCTAAGCTCCTTCTGTGCGAGTACAGAATGCTTAGTCATAGGAAAAAGCTATGAAAACATGTGCTCCTGCCTTTGCGTAGGTGAAAGCACGCTGGCGAAGAGGAAACGCACTGACGTGTCATTAGTAGTACAGAGCGGTGACAGCCAAGTGCCAGGGAGTCCGGCGAGAGCTGAGAGTGCTTTGGACCTTGGGAGCCCTGGACGTTGCTCACTTACACGTACTGTCTTTTTTTAGCCTACTTACTGGAGAACGTCTATAAAGAATGTAGTAAAGGCGGAGTTGGTGCTTTATTTAAATTTTGTGAAACCTTGTTCGATGGGTGTTTCAGTGGGGTAATGGCTGGTCAGTGCCGTGTGGAACCACGAACCGAATGTCCTTCTTCCCCGTAAAAATATTTAGTCCACACTTTTTAGCAGTGAGTGAATTCAGCAATTTTCAGTGTTTTCTGATAATAATAAGGTTAATTCCTGAGTTCATATTAATTTAGTATGAGGGACTTTTGTTCCATTAATCACAAAATCTTAAAATGTCAGATTTGTGAGGAACCGTAAAGATTATGTATTCTTAGCAAATTTTACATATATCATTAAGTAAAACTAATAACAGTGCATTATTATCAACTAATGTTTACTTGAGATTTTATATATATATTTTTTTAAGTTTCAAGGATAATACAAGGAACTTTTGGATGACTTTTACCGAGAAACGCCAGTTGTTTTTCATTTGCTTTGGCATATTTCTATTTACACACACACACACATAAATAAGTTTTTTTGAGTCTTTTTAGATAAGTTAGGGATCCCATTTTCTTTACTACTAAGTGCTTTAATTTTTCCTAAGATCAGGGACCTTCTTTTACCCAAGTATACCATAATTATCAAAGTTGGGGTTTTTTTTCCTGCATGTTTTTAGTCCTGAAATCTTTGGAAATTTTATTTTTAAGAACCCCTGGGCTCACAGTCTCTGCAGGATATTGGGATTTTTTTGTGTGTTATTAATTCTTTTGAAATTCTTCTTTTCTGAGAACCACTGGGCTCAGAGTCCCTGCAGGGCATTAGTATGTTTGGTATGCATAATGAAATGATTACCGTAGTCACGCTAATTAATATATTATTTCACACAGTTCATTATTTTTTGTGATGAGAGCCTCTGATATTTACTCTCTTAGCATATTTCTGGCCTAGTACAGTTTAGATCTCTGTGCTCACTCATCCTGCGTGTCTGCAGCTTTGTGCCCTTTGACTGTCATCTTCCCATCACCTCACCCCCCCCACTCCCCGTCCCTGGAAAATATCATTTTACTCTCTGCTTCTCTGAATTTGACTTTTTAATCACCTTAAAGTTCACATATAAGTCTGATCATATAATACGTTGCCTGGCTTATTTCACCCAAGTTGTCACAAATGGCAGGATTTACTTTCTTCTCATTGCTGAGTAATATCCCATTGTATATATAAATTATGTCTAATTTATTCATTCTTCTATAGATGGACGCGTAGGTGGCTTCTGTGTCTTGGCTACTGGGAACCATGCTGCAAGTGAACGTGGGATGCAGATTCCTCTTTGGGGTCTGATTGCATTTCCTTTAGATACGCACCCAGAGGGGGAATTGCTGGGTCGTGTGGGAGTCGAGGAACCTCCATACTGTCACGGCTGGACCAGTTTACATTCTCACTGACAGGGTGCACCAGTTCTCTTTCCTCTAAGTCAGAATGTTAGCACTGATGCGAGATTATCACCAAGCCCATGGTTCATTTTCAGACTTATTGTTTACCTAAGAAATGTCCTTTGTAGTTATTTTTCAAAATTCTGATTCCTCATCCAATCCAGGATCATGCATCATATCTAGTGGTCATGTCTCTTTAATCTCCTTTAATCTGGAACAGATTGACTTCTGTTCTTTTTGACTTCTTTCTTTTTTAAGGTTTTTATTTATTTATTTTTGGAGACAGATGAAAGGAAGGAGAAAGAGAAGGAGAGAAACATCAATGTGTGGTTGCCTTTCACGCGCCCCCTACTGGGGACCTGGCCTGCAGCCCAGGCATGTGCCCTGACTGGGAATCTAACTGGCAACGCTGGTTCCCAGGCAGGCACTCAGTACACTGAGCCACACCAGCCAGGGCAACTTTTTCTTTCTTGATCATGATATTTTTGAAGAATATGGGCCAGTTGTTTTGTAGAATGTTCCTTATTTTGGGTTTTTCTGATGTTTTTTCATAATTAGATTTTCATTATACATTTTTAGGGGGAAATACCACGGAATTGTGCCCCTCTTAGTACCTTGCACCAGGAGAAACATGGTGTCTGTTTGTCCCAGTATTGCTTATGTTAGCTTTGATCATTTGCCTAAGGTGGAGTCTGCCAAATTTCTCTCCTGTAAAGTTCCTATTTTCCCTTGTAATTAGTGAGTAATTTCTGGGGAGATACTTTAAGATTATGTAAGCATCCTTTTCCTAATCAGATTTTCCCCTCTAGTTCTAATAACCATTAATGATTTTGTAACTCCATAATTTTCTCTACATTTATCATTTGCCATTCCTCTGTAGGGATGGGCTTTCCCTTCTCCCCCTTTGTATTTATTTATTCATTGTCAAGAACTGGGAAGGGTCTAGGACTATACCTTACTTGCAAGCTAATAAGTTAGCCTCTTACTGTTTCTTAGATGCTGGCAGAGGTACAGGACTTTTGGGTCTGAGCCAAAGGACTTTATTATTCATGGCATGGCACACTGCGTGAGCTTCATTTGATTTGCATTGGTTTTTCCTGTCCTGACCCACGTCCCCTGGGGATGGCGCAGGTGGGCCTAGATAGATTCCTGCATATGCTGTGGGTTGTGCTTTAGGGAAGGAGCACTGAGCTTTGGGTGTTCCCCACTTTTATAGCAGGTGGAAGCAAGCCTGTTCTTTGTCAGGGGTTGGGAAGATGTGCCCTCATTTCTGAAGGTGGCCCACTGCACACAGAGCCCTGAGCAAGGCTCAGGTAGAGAGTGGTCAGAGCCTGCCTGCACACTGAACGAGAAGGTATAGGGACACTCAGGGCCCCTGGCTTGTCACCTCTCCCAGCATTCATGTACATGCGTCAGTGTGTATTCATGGATCTTTGTTTTAGTTAGTGGATCATTATCCATTCCCATCATTATTTATTTGGCCACCGGGAACCCCTTCAAGATGGCTCCCGTGTCCTTGTGACATATCCCCATCATTCTTTGAGCATTTTCTTTCTGGCACAGGATGTGTCAGGCTGCATTAGTTTCCTACAGTTGCCATAGCAAAGAATGACAAGCTGGTATATTGTAGTTCAAAACAAGAGAAATTTGCTCTCTCACAGTTCTGGAGGCTCGAGGTCTGAAATCAAGTTCTAGCAGACACCTACCCTTTTTGCTCCAAAATGACTTTTAAAAAATCTGCTCTCTTTGACACCTCTGGGGAAGAATCGTCCTTCGCCTGGGCCAGCTTCTGGTGGCCTCAGGTATTCCTTAGCCTGTGGCATCATAACTCTAGTCTCCTCTGTCTTCACATGGCCCTCTGCCCTGTCTCTCTGTATACAAATCCCCTCTCCTGTCCTGTAGACACCAGTCATGGGATTTAGGGCTCCCCTTAGACCTCACCTTAACTTTTCCCCTTCAGATTTGATTTGATACACTTGTACATCACCAAATGATCACCAACATAGTCAGTACCTCTGTTGTGTCACATAATTACCATTTCCTTTTTTTGTGTTGAGAATATTTGAGATCCATTGTCTTAGCAACTGTCAAGTATATAAAAATGTTATTAAGTATAATCACCATGGTGTACATTAGATCCCCAGAACTCGTCTTATAACTGGACGTTTGTGACCTTGGAACTCGGCTTTTTCCTCTTTCCCGCATCTTCCCCTAAATGCTCCGGTAAACACCACTCCACTCCATGTTTCTGTTAGTTTGGGGTGAGTGTTTTTCTAATTCTGCATTGCTCCTTCTGTAACGCTAGACTCTCAATTGTTTCTTTTAAAAAAATGTTTTTTGTGGGCCCTGGCCAGTGTAGCTCAGTGGATTGAGCACGGGCCTATGAACCAGAAGATCGTGGTTCGATTTCCCGTCAGGGCACATGCCTGGGTTGCAGGCCAGTTCCCAGCAGGGGCCAATTCCCAGCAGGGGATGCATGAGAAGCAACCACACATCGATATTTCTCTCCCTCTCTCCTTCCCTTCCCTTCTAAAGCTAGATAAAAAATTTTTTAATAAAATTAAAAAAAAATTTTTTGTAAGTTGAACATTTATTTGTCTGACATATGGATAAAGGTTAATTAAGATAGTTCCTGCAGTTTCATTTCTGTTTGCCCTCGACCCCAGTGATTTTCAACTGGAATACTGTAAGAATTTTTAAAACATGCAATACCTGACGGTTTCTTAAGGGGCACTGACTTCTTTTCCCTTAGATTGTGTCCAATTTAAAAAATGACAACAGCCAACACAGCAGTAGCAGCATGGTGGGACTGCCCTGTCTTGAACCATAAATAGACAGGTCATATAATAGAGTTGCCTCTCGTTGGTCATGCTGCATAATAAGGTTGCCTCTGAGTGGTTAATTCTTGGTACCATAAATCCGTATATACAAGGATAGGCACCTGATTTTTTTAAAGTCATTTTGGAGCAAAAAGGGTAGGTAATTATTTTTTGT